GTCAAGAGATTCCAAAATCTAATCCCAAAGTCTGAACCAACCACACCTCTCTGTGATCAAAGTTAGACAACCTCTCCACACAAAAATGATGATAGCTAGCACAGTCTCCCACTGTGAATATAAACAGTAACTATTTTCCTTCCTTGTAGGAAGCTTGCCCAGATAAGCCAAAAATTCCCCAAAGCTGACTTCGTGACCGTTCACAAACTGGTGGTGGCCGTGGCCGACATGCACAAGGACTGCTGCCGCGGGGACACGCTGGGCTGCATGCGGGACAGGGTAAAGCCCTTTCACACTCGTGTGGCTGCAGACATTTCATGCCTTTGTTGTTGCAGGGTTCAGATTTTCAGCTTCCCTTTCTCGTGTACAGGAAGAGATCCTGCGCTACGTGTGCAGCAGCCAGCACGTCCTGTCCAGCCGGATCCAGCAGTGCTGTGAAAAGCCCCTGTTACAAAGGAGCGAATGCATCCTCAACGTGGAAAACGATGACAAACCTGCAGGCTTGTCCCCCCACGTCAGGGAGTTCATTGAAGACAAAGGAATATGTGAACGTTTTGCCCAGGAAAAAGACATGCACTTAGCCAGGTAACACAGGGCTTCCTCTGTGAAATTCTCCCTGTTCCACCAGACAAACCCACTCTGAAATCCTCCTGCTATCCTTCCCACCCAAGGGCAGCTGTTTTGGCTTCTCCCTAATTCCTGATCTTCCTCATATTGCAGGTTTCTGTATGAATATTCCAGGAGACACCCGGAATTTTCTGCCCAGATGCTTCTCAGGATTGGCAAAGGCTACGAGGACCTGCTGCGGGAGTGCTGCAGGCCCGGGGCTCCCAGTGGCTGCCTCAGCAGAGGGGTGGGTGCTGCTGGGTCCTCAGGCTCCTCACAGCACATGGAGGGGGTCAGGCATGTCACGCTGTGACTAAAATGCCAATATCCCTGCTCCACCTCCAGAGTCACAGCTCCTGTAACAATCCCAGCAAATCCTGCAAAGCCTGACTGATTCCCAACTGGAAAAAGCACCACAGAGCCTGTGCAATCTTTAATTGCGAAGCAATTTAACATGGACAGATGGAGAGAGAGGGAAACGGATGGAGCTAACACTTCTGTGGGCCCTGCTCCTGAGCAGTGCCAGTTCCCTCTCCCAAATGTAAAGATGCTTATGGTCACTGTCTGAGATCAGGACAGTGGCCCTATAATACCTGAAGTCAGGAGCTGCCCGGTGTCTCAGACACGGCCTTCCAGGTCATGGGGAACGGACGTGGACATTTTACCACATTCAGGCAGTTTACAGGGGTTTCAGACAGAAATGGCATTAGAACCAGGGGGTCCATATCAGGTGAGAGACAGCTGTAGATACTCAGGACATTCCGCATTCCCCTTCCTCAAATTCATTTTTTTTTTTTCAGGAGGAAGAACTGAGGAAACATATTTACGAAACGCAGAGTGTCATGAGGACAAGCTGTGACATTTACAAGGAGAAAGGAGATTACTATTTCCAAAACGAGTATTACTTTTTCCTGCGCTTCCTTACCCTGCTCCCACTGGGCACAGTCCTGGGGTAACGCCACACGGCTCACACAGGCCAGGCTAAAGGCACTACTGCAACATATGGCTTCACACAAACAGGGCAGCCTTACACCTGCCCACCTGGACTTAGAAACACCAGGCTTAGTCCTGTCCTTATACCAAGGAGTGTTTCATGGGGCTTGGCTGGAGCATTCCGCAGGGAAGGCAGAGGCTGCTCAGTACTGCCTGTGAAACAAAAACACCAACATGACAAAATCTGTCATTTCAGGCTCCTCATGAGTTTCACCAAGAAGATGCCTCAGCTGACATCGGCGGAGCTGATCAAATTCACCAAGGAAATGACAACCATCGGCTCCAAATGCTGCCAGCTGGGCCAGGACAAGCTGCTGCCTTGTGCCGAGGAACACGTGAGTGCTTCCCTTTGGTATCTGGGTCCTACTTTTTGCTGAAACTCTGCCAGAAATTCTGCTGCTGGTCCCTAAAACCGCATATAAATGTTCATTTGCAAAAATCCCAGCTGGTTCTGCACTGACAGAAGTCAGCATTAAGTAAAAATATCAAGTGTTCTCTATCCTACAAACCAGGCTTAACTTAAATTCCTCTTTTCCTAACTTCGCTGTGAGCAATGTGCATTTCAGGGATTTTTGAACATGAAAAAGTAACATAACATTGTTTTTTTCATTCTCTTGGCAAAGCTGGATCTCGTGCTTGGGGAAATCTGTAGGAGACACCTGGCTGATCCCATAAACCCTGGAGTTTGCCGCTGCTGCAGCAGCTCCTATGCCTTCAGGAGGCCCTGCATAGGCAAACTGGAGATCGATGAGAGTTATGTGCCCTTAGCACTGACTCCGGGCCTGTTTGCTTTCCATGGAGACCTGTGCACCTCGGAAGAGGAGAAGTTACAGCACAGGAAGCAGGAGTAAGACATGCTGGTTTGCTGTTACCCCTGGCACTGCTCACCTTCCCCTTGCCTACTGTCCTGCCTTCTCCTTTGGAACACTCCAAAACCAGGCACCAATGTTTCATTTCACAGGGGAACAGGGCACCACTTTGCTCCCGGCCAGAAATCCATGTCTGGGTGGTGAACAAGGATGAAAAGCTGTGGGAAGGCAGCGGGTGGGACCAGAACGGGGGTTTGCAGGCCTGGGGTGGAGGGAAGCTCCGTGAGCGCGTGCTCCCCTCCCACTTCCCAGAGCTCTGCTCTCCTGCAGGATGCTCGTCACCCTCCTCAAGTACAAGCCACAGATCAGCCCCGAGCAGCTGGGCTCCGTCACGGCCGCCTTCACTGCCATGAGGGAACGGTGCTGCAGAGAGGCCAACCCTGAGGCCTGTTTCCTCAAAGAGGTATCGCTTCTGTTTCCAGCCACAGTTCCTCGGCAACAGGGAGAGAAAGGGTATATTCAGGTTTTCGGTCAAAGCCTTTTTCCTGTTTATCTCCCTGCCTCTGTTTCTCTCTTGCCTTCCCAGTGCTGTTTCAGCTCACTCAACTTCATACTCCAGAGCTGCTCTGGCTCCTCTTTACCCTGCGGTAAATCTGCATTTCCCTACTTCTCACCTCCCCCTCTTTGCTGTATTCCTTAAGTGAACTTTAACAAACCATCCTTGACCCTTAAGCCTTGTTCTCTCTTTTCATAAGTCTTTGCTTTAGAAGATAAAATACAGAAAATTTTCTTTTATTAATAAAGAATGCCCACCTCTGGATACACCTGAACAGCACAGGCAAAAAGATTCTACCAACTATTCCAACCAGAACTGTATTTTAGTATTTTTCCAACAAATAGCAAATCTAAGGCCACCTGAGCTGACCAGCAAAAGCAAAATGCATCCTGCACAGTGATAAATGTATCTGTGCTCTGCACATAGTTTAGTGCCCACCTTACCGAGGTTATAGGACGGGACCTGCTGCTGCCACCTCACTGAACGTGTCACGAACACATCGAGCGCCCTCCTGACACTATTGCTCACACGGATCTTCCTTTTTTCCAGGGTCCAGAACTTATCAAAAGGAGTGAGAAAATGCTGTCAGCATAAGGAGCTGCACAGCCCGTGGGAAGGTCCTCGCTGGACGCCAGGAAGTGACACAAACTGCACAGGGAGCATTTAAACCAAACCAAGTGTCTGAAAGCCAGGTTAATCTAGAGGGAGGCTGCATGCCCTTAAGTAATTCCACCAAAACAATCAGTTAAGTGATGAAAATTCAGGGTTTGACTGTGGCCACCACCTCCCGGTATGCAATCTTATTTTATTACCCCAAATAGTCACAGACCAAAACAAAGGCATTTTAAATCTTAAGCTTATAAAGCATAAGTGCAAATGAGATCCAATTAAGAAAATCGGCCTGTAACCATTCTAACTTAATCACTGAATAATTATTTTTGCATTTTTATAACACTGGCCTTGAACTACAGCATATGCACTCACCAATATGGGCTGCTCAGGAGCACTGTAAAGTTACCTTTAAACAGAGAAATATATTATCTCTGGCATCTCAAATAAGGTGAGAGAGAAAAAAATAAGAAAAATGTCCCAAAAAGGACAGGACAGGGACTGCTGAAACACCTGGTCAGCAGGGAAATGTAAGATCTCAGGTAAGATATAAGCCTTTTAATGACTGTCTCTGTGATTAATGGCTTCGGGCCCAAATGCAAGAGGGACCCCCACTTCCTCTGTCACCCATGTGTCATTGCTGTGTTACCACAAATGTCCCACAATAATCTGGAATAAATTCTTTCCCCGCTCTTGTATTTGTCAGAAATGGTTCATTTAGACAGCACTGCACTCACAAAGAACCAAGCCCACAACAGTCACTGATTTCACTCACCCTCAAATCCCGGGCGACTGCACCTGGTCTGTGCCATGTTCCAGAGCTATCTTCCAGCAGTTTTCAGTCCCAATTCAGCAGGATAAGGGAAATAAACAGTATTCAAGTCTTGAACATCAGATGGTGGCAAAAATAGCTCATTTTAGGAAGTGTGGACGTACACAGAGGGTTGGAGAACCTGCTTGAAAACACCTCCTCTTTTCCATATGGGCTGTGCAAGAAATCACGAATATTTAATATTCCAACATTTCCACTTGGGTGCACACTCTGCTGCTTCAAGGAACTTTTATTTGCAGCTCTAAGGCAGCTATTACTTAATCCCTACATCTTAACTGCTGAATTATTTTTATTTCTCCTCTCTGTACTCCCTTGCCCCTAATATTTTCCTAGGTAGGATTATAAACTGTACCCCCTTGCCCCAGCTGGAGCAGTTTCAATCAGCACATCGACCTTCATTTTTTGAATTCACATCCCAATACCATGATCTCACGCAGTGTAAAGTTTTATAATTTGATTTATTCCACATGATTTGTAGACAACACATTCTCCTCATTCATATCCTCCCTCACTATTTGTTACCTGCACAAGGCAAAGGCAGCTGAGGTAAGTCACAGATACCAGGTAAAAACAACCGGCTAATGCAGGAGGAACATCAACTGCACACAATTTATTTTATTTGCATCTCTGTAATTTGAGCTCCAATATCCAACACAACTCAACCAGACAGGGCCTGGCATTGGCTGCTGTGCCCTACCTGGGGCCGGGCTGGACCCAAACGGCATCCATGGGGAGGCCACGAGCCCAACCCTCCATGGCTATGACGTTCAGCCTCTCCCTGAGCACTTCTCCATTCCCTTTCAAACAGAAATCGCTGGAAGAACCACAGAATCACTTACTACAGCAGCAAAAACTACTGAGATGCCTTCCAGGACCCACCTGTGTTCAGTGACAGTTCTTCTTTTGCATTTCACAAGGTATTTCAGGGATAAACACCCTCTCATGGTTAAGAGCTGAGCAGCTTGTACGTGGGAGGCTGCCAATTATGTTTTTCTAACCGTAGCTTAAAGCTTAAGCAAGTTCAGCCTCTACCAACATGAAGCTAGTGGGATTTCAGGCATCTCGCATGGATATTTTATAAGTTAAGTGAAAATCCTACCTGCTGTCTTAAATACATAAATACCTTCTGCCACTTGCCTCTGCTGAAAAGCTTTCTGCTAGTACAATTCCACATTTCTCTAATAGAGGGATAACCATATACTTGATTTGCATATTTTCTATGAACACAGTGGTTATTGCAATATTTTTCCTATGCCAGCCTCTTGGTAACGGGTTGTACATCAGCAGGGTTTAAAGCCTCAGGCTTTTCAGGGCATATTTTTCCCTAAGTTCCAAGCCAGATTCAGCATCTGTTGTTTGGGGGATGTAGTGCATCTCCTTAGGTGGTTCCAGCCCGCATCCCAGCGCTGCAGCAGTGGGGGCAGTTTCGGCTGTTTAATGCTCAGGAGAAACTCCCTCACTCTGCACACCCTGAGCTTGAAGGGCTCCTCAGTCCCAGCCCCCAGAACCAAGCAGCACAGCGCCTGCCCCTCCACACACCCGGGGGGCTGTTCCCAAGGGGCCGTTCCCATCAAACCGTGGTCTCTGTTTTTCTAACAGTTCGACTGCGAAGGTGTTGCCGTATCAGGCTCTTCTCTTTCAGGTACCTGAGATGGAGGGGGAGAATGCATTTCAGTAATAGGACCTTGCAAAGATTCAACCCAACTTCTAATGAGCTGGTCAAAGGGCAATGAAAAGCTTCCCACTAGAAAATGGCAGGTGTTACTTATTATCTTTTTATATATTCCCTGTACACTTTGATTCAACATGATTATCAGCCCATCATCCAAAAACAGATCCATGGGTACTGCAGCCTCTCACTGCTGTTGGCCTCAGGACCCAGTTGCTCACAAATACAGAAGCCTCTCTGGCTTGTCCCTATTGGGCATTTTGAGCTACTGTCACAGGAATTCCTGTCATTCACCACACGTTTTAAAGGGACATATGGCACCAATGTGGCTTAAATGCTACAGAACCGAAATAGTACCACAATGTGTACTGCATTTGTTCTTTCCAGTGGAATACACAGCAGCAAGTACAAGCTGAGGCTTGTAAAGGTTCAAGAAACAAACACAATAAACTGAAGTGACTCTGAGGGTCTAAACTTTCTGAAAAGACCCCACTGTGTGTGTAGTTAGTATTTATTCTGTAATCTTTAACAGAACAGCTGGGTATACAGCACAGGGGAAGGATTATAAATCCCACCCATCTCTCCAGCAGTCCCAGCAGTGTTGTACCTGCACACTGCTACATACACGTGTTCTCCTCATGAGCCAGCCCATCATTGTACAGATTCCCCTGGACTCAGTGACCCCCCTCATTTTACTTCCACTTACCTTGCCATTGTCTGTTGAATCTCCTGCTTCTCCTCTTCATTTATTCTATGCAAAATTGATTCCAAAAAGGGAAGATGAAATGGAATGTACTGAGCAACCTACCAGGGAAAAGACAAGAAATGCACTACTATTCATGGTAACAGAGAAAAACTCCCTGAGCTACCAGAGCTGATGATATACGCACGTCACTGCTGATCTCTTCCACATCCCCATCCATGAGAAAGAACTTGGCAATCTTCTCCGAGGGCCCCTGCAGCAGCCTGTGCAGCAAGGGGACGTCTCCACTCCTCAGCTGCTTCTTTTCTGGGATTTATAAGGAATGTCATGACACACAGAACACACCACAGGGCCTCTCTGTACCTTCTGCATTCAGGAACCTTTTTCCTTGACACAGATCAACCATATCTGACTGCTGTGCAATTACCAGATACCTAACAGGTCCCTAATATTGTGCCATTTAAGGTACATTCCCCCTCAGTTAGCTTCCACTCTTTCAGGCATTCCCTTTAATAAAGATCAAATCTCTTTTTTCCTAAAGAACTTGAACTGTCGTGGAAGTAAACATTTCCCACTGAAAAATGAGTACTTTGAACTCAGCATCTGTGATCCAAAACTGTCAGCTGAAAGGGCCCACAACACAATCATTCCGCTTTTCCCCTCCAGAGGATACACATCTGAGGGGTCTCTGGAGAAGCCAAAATGCCACACCACACCCACACTGCCCAAATGAGGACAGAGGTCTGGGACGAGCCCTGTCACTCAGAGGTACACATGCCACACACACACACACACACACACACACAAGGGATGATTAGAGATGAAGTGATCAGGCAGCAGTGGCTGGCTTACCTCCAGATGCATGGATAATGTAAAGTGCAAATTCATGGGGGCTGTTTTCTATCTGTGAAACAAAAGAAAATCCATTCAGACTCACAGACCTTCCCAGCATTTCCCTCTCAGCTGATACTACCTATGTGTCTCAGCTCAGATATCTGGATCGAAGTGAGACAGAGATCCTGTCTGTGGAAGAGTTTAAAGATGCTGGATTTAGATAAGACAGAAAGCTATGCTGCCATGTTCATTGTCCCCGTGCCAACCCTAATCCTTACCCTTCCATATTGCCCCAATCAGTAACACACTTAGACAAGCCCAGATCATTCTTGCTTGGTTTCCTTGGAGCATCCTGAACTACTTCATACAACTTTCTTTTCATGTTACATGTAGATTTGCTACTTGTATCTTCATCAAGGTAAGACTCTGTGATCCCCACCTACCCAACTTGCCTGACAGGCACACTGAGCAAACAGCAGAACTTTTGAACACTTACTTTGCAACTTTTCCAGAACTTCACACCCCAGTCTGTAAGTCCATTCCTTACTACTCCTAGAAGTAAAGTTTTCCCTTCAGTATTACACTCCCAAGTCCCACTAACTACATCAAGTAATTCTGCAATAGCCAAGTCTCTAGACAACTTAAATGGGACGTTTAACACAAATAAAGTAAAATTGTGCCCTACACAGCCACGTAGAATAGAGATATTGGAGAAACATACAGCACTGATGGGAAAGGATTTCTGACTGGCTATAATCATACTGGTGGAAGATGGTTCCAAGGTAACTCCAAGGAAAAAAAATGTAGTCTCAGACAGTACGGCACTGACCTTGAGCAGTACTTTCAACTCTCACTTTCTGGACCTTTCCACCTGCCTAGGTCTAACAGGACCTATCTCCCAGACACCGGATTGAATTCCCTGTTAAGCAAACCGCAATTCCTGGGGATGTCCGCTGGAGGGCAGCACTGCCACGGGCAGTGACCAGCCTTTCCCTGCACTGGGAATGATGGAAGCGCAGCAGCGTTCGCCCTCCTGTGGGGGACCTCAGGGAAGGGGTTCTGCAGTTTCCCCTTCACCGCACACCACACACCCGGTGTAACTTTTATAGCCTCAAAGTGCCATGAAACAGTGATAAAACAAACCCAACCCATGCATTTCAAATGGCCCATGTGGGTTCTTTCACATTCCATTTCATGCAGTATTCCCTGCCTTTCCTGCAGCACTGGAGTGCACACTGGAATGAACATTTCCAGAACACAGCCACACTTGCTCCTGCCAGGTTACCTTAAACTTGTGAAGCAGCTGTTCTATCACATGTCTGGTTCTCATGTGGCTGTTGATTCTTATTTTGGTTTCTGATCCAAAAGCCGGAGTGAAAACTGATGTCTGGAACAAAAACAGCCACACAAGGGCATGAGCATGAGGCAAAGCTCACTGGACAGGGTTCCCTGTCCCGGGGCCCACCCTCAGGTGATGAAGCCAAGCCTAAGCATTCCTACCTCGTAGTTGTAGAAGTGGCCATTGATTGAGAACCTGTGAGTTTCTCCTTCTGTCCTGGCTGCTGTGGGGAGCTTGGTCCTCTTCCGCACCGCCGCGGCATCGCTGCTGGTCCTGGGCAGGGTGGCACAGTCGTGCTCCTGCTCACTCCTGGGCTTCAGCGTGTGGCTTTCATAACATGGATAACCTGGAAGAACAAAAGCACATCAGCACCGTGTGCAGCTGCTCCCCCCTCCCTGCCAGCAACCCCAGAGGAAGGAAGCTCTTGGTGGAGGTATTTATTTTTTTATTAACTTTTTTTTGGGTAGGGAGCAGGAGAGGAGCAAGGCATAGGCATGCGATGTAGTGGCCACAGTTGGCTATTTTGTTCCCTTGGGAATGATCTCGTGGTGAAAGCACAGCCCATTAGCACTGGCTGTTCACTGAGCCACCTGCACAATGTTGGCCCTAGCCAGCCCCGGGTCAGTGTTCTCCCAGCTTGCAACACGTCACATAGAGCATAAAGATTCCCCCTCACTGCTAGGGAAGGCCTGATGGGTGAAATTCATTTTGCACAGCCACAGAACACCCAAATTTTTGTGAACATAAGAGCACCGACACTAACTTGGCTCGAGGTCTGGCTGTTCCTCAGCGGACTTCAGTGTCTCCCCACTAATGTGATGCAGGTCATCAAATTCTCCCCAGCGAGTCATTCCCCTGAAAGACCAAACATTTATTACTCCTTGTTAACACAGTGATTTCAGTTTATCCTGTGGCCAGGCTTCAAGTAGTGCATTCTTGCCCATGCACAGAACTTTACAGAACACAACTATAGACTTCTGCATGGTAATTTTAGTTTAAGTAAAAAGAAAATCAGTTATGAAAACATGGTATGATGAGGGATCCCAAATATATCACAGGCCTATTTAGAGCCTGTTGAACAGAGAAATCATGTCCCTTAAATAACTTGCAGTAATTATTTATCTATTTTACAGCAAAGTTATGGATTAATCACAATAAAGTACCAGGCAGGCACACAGAAAACATGTATTGTGGTTTTAACAGTCACAGGATACATGTCTGCTATACAGATGGGACGTGGAAGACTAAATTACATACCAGCCCCTCATGCTACCCAGTTCTGTATGCGAGCAAGGAATTCCATGCAGCCTGTTAGAAAATCTACCTTTTTTATGTCAATATTTCCATAATTCATTGTCTAAACTCTTCAGCAGAAAGTCTTCATCCAGTTACTGCTCTGACTGAGAATAAACCAATTTGTAAGACAATAATAAAAATTCATTTCCTATATATATTCCAAAGAATATTCAGCTAACTCCCACGAACACACCAAACAACAATCTCACTTGTGTTCCACACATTTACCAAGTTCATTTAGGATCACACAGCTAAGTTGCTCTGCATACCTTAAAGCATGTCAGGGCAGCCCCATGTTTCTGGGATCATGAGTTAATGTTTACTTTAAGATTCAGATCTCCACCAGCCAGAAGTTTCTTAAGCACTAAAAGGCGAAGCATGACCTCAACTGCCAGAGCGGCCCCTGTCCTGCAGGCCACACACCCCCACACCAGCAGAGCTGGGCAAGGTAAACACAGAACCTGTCAGGCCTCAGCCCTCAATTTCAACAGCCAGAGACAGGAAGCCTGTCCCTGACTTGACTAGAATTTCCCATCTGCAAGGATGGCAGAATTAAATCCAGAATTCCAATGTGCACCACATGCCATCTAAGACAATAGGTAATTAGGAAGAAAAGCTCTGCAATACACAATTTATCTGGGAGTCATTCAGGGTGAACACTGGCTCTGCCTCCCTATTGCACATGACTCAGCTTTAGCTCAAATGCACCAACTAAGGCTGGGGAAATAAGTGTTCAAAACAAAGGGAAAGTACACTGAGAACCTGCAACAATTGAGCACAACACACTGGGATATAAAACATCACTGGCAGCAGCCTGGAGTAGTTGGTCTGTGGGCATTTTAACAGGATTTTCTACACTAGATTTTGCACTAAGCCAGTATTCACTCCCTGGTGTGAACTTCAGCTGAACAGCAATGATTCCACACCTCCAGCCGGGAGGGCACTTACCTATCAGCTTTTGGCTTCATGCTGTACTGTGTGCACCAACATGAGACCTTTCAGGGGCTCCCAGTATCAGGTGTCCAGAGATACATGTGGAGTTTGTTTGGGGTTTCTTTACACATATATTTCATATATATCGATTTCCCAGTCCTTGTATGGGAATAGTCACTTCCCATGAACAAGAGCAGCCTCCTTCAGCTCCTCAACCTGAGAGCCAGACAAATATGCTACAAAAACACACCTTTCTGCCCAGCAGAAGCTCTGGAAAGGCCATATCAGTCACAGAGCTCTGCCGTGCAAGCTGGCACCAGAGCCTTTGGAGAATCTGGGGTACACAGCCAGCCACATCCACTGAAGCCACCCCCAAGAGCTGTCCTGCAGTGCTAGCCTGCCTCCTCCCTAGGGAAGTTCATACATTACCTTTTACTAGGGAACAAATCCACGCTCCCTGTTGACTTTAGGGTTACAAAAGAGGGTATCAGCTTCTCATCCTGAATTTTTAATCGGATAGGGTGTCGCACTCCCCAAAATATTGACAGGATTCCTTCAATAAATGGTGCGTTTCCTTCTCGCTGGAGACAAGAAAAAAACAAGAATAAGGAGTATTACATAACAATTGAGTAAAAATAATCAAGTAATAATCTATTTCCCCTCAAGTAACAAGAACACAATGGACTCGCTGAGGCTGACACAACTCTGGCAGAGGTTACTCAGAGAGGCCATGGAACCTCAGTTTTAAGGTATTTCCAAGACATCCAAAACTGCAGCTGACCTGATCAGTCTAGGAAATCTGTTCTGGTTTATTATATTAGATGGAACACGTCACGTAATAAAAACACCACAGCAAGTGCTGGAGTCCAGTGCTGTGAGGAAAAGAGAGCAGAGACAGGTACCTCCGGATTAGTGGGAGTTTCTCTCACCTAATTCCATACCTGATTACATGTCAGTTGTAGATTCTCTTGATCCGAATAGTAAGAGTTATAATTCTTCAGAAGAAAACTGAACTGCTCTCTAGAATAAAGACCACAAAGAAAGAATAATTTATAACATGTCTGTCAATGTAAAATGCAGGTGTTATGTGGCAGGGTGACACCCCATACCTGCGCTACCCACTGCACCCTTGTATAGGTTTGTTAATGATCAATACACCATTTTCTGGGACTAAAATTTTGTCAGGTTACTGGATTGCTCAGAAGTTGCTTCTTTAAACACTTGATACACACAGGAAATTATTTAGTCACAGTCTGACGTGGTCTTAATAACACTGCCCCAGAATAGCTTGTACTTTGGACCTCTGTTAACAGTCAAGAGAAGGAAGCAAACAGGAACAACACCCCCATCCACCAATATTGCAGGTTACTTTAATTAGGCTAACAGTTTGTTTTCCCTGCATGATGATTTACAATGGTTTTTTATATTTTTGCAGATATTCTTTTTATTTCCCAATATCTACCGTATGCCTAGAATTTCTATTTCCTTCTGCTTGAAGCACAACAACTTTGCACCAAATCTTTGCTCAAAAGAAAAACGGATGGAGATGAAGAGAACCTCTGCCAACGAGCGAGGAGCCATGCAGACAAAAAGCCAGCTGCAGCTCAGCCAAGGAGGGCTGAGCAACAACAGAATTAGGTGAAATGTATTTCAGGGCCTCCAAGAATGAAACGCTCTTCCCCACACCACTCAAAGATTACTCAGGCTGTAATTCAAGCAAGCAATTTCCACCAGCAGAGGTAATCAGCCATGGGGAACAACTGCATGGAAGAGCACAGGCTCTTCCTTATGGACCATGGCTCAAACAGACAGCACTGCACAACTCTTTGCACCACAAGGTCCTGCTGAAGCTGTTCAGGACCCATGTACCATCAGAGGCACTATTACAACTTCTCCCCCAACTTTAAGCGCAAGGGTGCCCCAGTGGGACAGAGCCCAGCGTGCAGTCTGGCCCCAGGAACGTGGCCTTCCCCTGGGCTCAGCTGGCACACCCCGGAGAGGAGAGCAGGGACAGCCAGCAGGGCAGTTAATGTGTCTCTGTTGTGCCTGGGACAGAGGGGCACTTGGAGTGTGCATGTGAAAAGCTTTCCCTGGCATATCTATCCCTCTCTCCCTTCTACAGTTTACAAACACAACAGTGTCCTGTTGCTTACTGAGCCTTCTCCCATGGTGAGAAGGGAAAACATCAACTGGGCTTTTACCTGGCAGGGAACATGAGGACAAGGGCTACACCATTAAACTCCACAAGGTTCACCATGTTCCCTGCTAACACTCTGGATGTAAATCATTTACATTACTGCAATTCCACACAAAGAAATATTTTTTAGTAGCTTTATCAACAAAGTGCTGGGCTCCAAACCAGTGACTTCAACATTTACTTCAACTCACTTTGGTCTCAAATCCTAGGAATATAAGTGGCAAAACCCGTTCTCTCCATCATGTTGGGATGGCTTATTACAGGTTCTTTGTGTCTTGTGAGCTATGAGGGATTGTATTGAGGTCATCCCACCAAAAGGGCAAGTTTTAATAGACTTGGATATGAACCAGATATAAGCCCAGTTCTAATCATGCTGGCTACAAGGTAAGCAAGATTAAGCATGTCTTGGCCTCGTACACAGGCAAACTGCAGATGCAATTCAAGATTAACGTGCAAGCAGGAGACAGTCAGCTTTGTCTGACAGATGTGACAGCTGATCCTGCTCGACACGGGCTTCAAACTTTTTATATTTCCCAGAGTAATACCTTTTAGTATTATATTGTTATTGACAGCTGTTATTTCATAAGCTTTTTCCAGGTCAGAAGCTGGGGAGGTGAGTTCCCTCAAAACAGACTGTGAACACATAAGGACTTGGGTCACATTGAGGCCTGCCTATTACTCTTAGTCCATGTTGTCTGCAAAGGCAAATAAAATCATAGGCTAACAGCAGCAAGTGGTGTGGTAAGATTCTCTTTCTCAGAGCAAGCTCTCAAGATTTGCAAATAGTTTCTTGTCTTGTCTAGGAAAATTTGCCATGACCTTCCACAGAAGTTCATGTAAGTACATCTTTCAGGTTTCAGTCTTGCATTAGTGCAACCAACAGTGACAAACCTCTCAAGTCATTAGAAAAGCCCTGAGGGAGAGATTGAACAGCAGCTCACACTGACTTGTTTGTCCTCGCGTAGTGCAGACATCAGAGAAGAAAACATTTTCCTTCTTTTAGCCCCAGAAAGGAGTAAGACGTGGACCAGCTCAGTTCTAGGACGAGTCTTATTGTAACACATGTTCCTAGTGCCCTAACCCAGAGACAGATGCCATCTCTGCAGTGCCTGGCTACCAGAAAATCAGCAGCTGTTGTGTTGCAAGTCTGTTCTTCTCAGCAGCTTCCTGACAACAGCCAAACTCAGCCATTAATGGAGACCACAGCCAAGTAACTGGCAGAACAACTCACGTAACATTTACTGCAGATTCACCACTTTCTTGAGTAGCAAAAGCAAGATAAAAGGGAGCTGCAAGGTCAGGTGCCCCGGTGGTAAACCACAACACAGCCCACACTGCTTTCTTGAAACACTAACCCAGGACAACTCACCTGTGCCCTCTTCTTCCCTGAGCCCATCTCACTTAATCATGAATATTTATGGCAGTTATGCCAGAGACACAGCAGTTCAGCCAGCCAAATAACCCCACATGCTTTGGTCAGCCTTTTCATCCAGCCATTGTGCAATTCCCAAACAGCAGACTTGCCCCATCAGCAAGATTTGCAGGATGCAACTAGAAGAGCAGTAATATAACAGCAGTTTCAAGGTTTAGATGAGGGATGACAGTCTGGGAATGGCACTGGAAGCAAGCCTGAGTGCATACAGAATGTCAGTAATTCTTGAGACTCTTATTTCTTTTAATGTAAGGCAAAACCAACTTTAAACCATGAACTATCATGCCGAAAGGTCTCGACCACGATCCACGTTTCCTCCCTTAAATAGGCAAGTCTAGGGCAGAATAAAGCCCCAGAGACACTGGTTCATGTGGTACATTTCCAGATGCTTTTGTATGTCAATTGTGCAGGAGCTCACACCGATGAATTACCTCTGACACAAAAGTACTGTGTCCCAACTCAGCAGCATTATAAAATGAATAACATCTGAGGAGAAAGGGAGGGATGTCTTTATTGTCTCTGTGCTCCAGGTAAGGCCCTGACACCCTCCCTTGAATAGGGAGAAATCAACAGCACTGCTCAGGCCACATGGAAAAAGATTAGGATTCAGGAACAAATATCTACTGTAGAAGGAGAAATTCCCCTGGGGTAGCTTATAAGTAGTTTACAGGTAGCTTCTTCCCATGGGAACACCAAGAGGGATGGAAAGGAAGTGAGAAGAAAGGCACTTCTTCCAGCTCCTGTGCTCTTGACAACAAGGGGAAATTAATCCCGAAAAAAGGGGATAGAGCTAAACACCAGGAGGCTCAGAGTCTGGGGTAGCATTAGGAAAAATTCCTACCAGCCAGACTGAACAGTAAAAAAGCATCCCACAAATTACAGTTTGAGTGCAATTCCAAGGTTTTGGAAGTAGGTGAAAAAGCCACTTCCACTGATCACAGCACAGAGCTGGCAGCCTGAAAGGTCTTTCTGCACAGAAACCCTGAGATCTGGGGCTGCAGGTCAAGCCCCAAGCCACAGAGAAGCAGAGCTCAGCTTCAACTCTGGAACTTATGTTCAGTTCCAATAGGCTTCCAAGACAGGAGAGTCTTCTTCCCTAACTTGGAATTTCATTTCAGAATCCTCTAGAAGGGCTGTTCTCCTTAATGAACAAAACCCACAGATCCAAAGGTTTAATGCTCTGTTCTTTGAATTTCATACAAAGGCCAACTCTGTTCTGTAGACAGGTTAAATAAATTAAGTTGTAGAAATGTCTGCTGCTATAGGCTCAGCTCTCTACAGGACAGGATCCCCTGTTAAGGAATAAATATGGACTAATGTGAAATAAAGCAGCAAGATCATTAAATGTTTGGGTTTTTTTAATAATTTACCTGGTTATGAACTTCTCCTCATTGATGAAAACAGAAGGAAGATGCTGTGCTTTCATAGTCACTTTCTTCATTTACTCAGAAGAGATGAATCTAAACAGAAGGTTAGAAAAATAAATATATCCACTAGTGCCACTAAGGGAGACTAAATAGGAATCAGGAGCAAAGCTTTAGTGAAACAGGTTGGGACACTCAAGCTAAGGGCTCACTACACTGATGTTGACTATTTCATACTTTGCCTTAATACCCACACATTTCCCACTCCTCGTAAAAAAGCCATAAGCCATTCCCACCAAGTATATACCAGTAACTTAAATTCCAAGTACTTCATATATCAGGACTTTCTCAAGCAGTTTTGGGACTACTCCAACTCCATGACTATGCCTCACTCGTTAACAGTCTGAGTCAGCAGCCCCTGTACCAGTGAGGATCCATTTGTCCATTATGGATAGAGAGCATTGCCCAGGGGCACTGGAACACACCGTACTCAGCAATCCACCCTTCACTGGGTTCCTAAAACTAGGCAAGAGAAGGAGTGTTGATCCTTAGCAGTGTCCTGCAGCACACTGAGGAAGCAGCTGGGATAGTAAAGAGTGAACGAGGCTATAATTACAGGGATGTAGCAATACAATTTACAGATCTCCACGTCCTGATTCCATCATGTTGTGCAGGCAACAAGCCAGACCCACGAGACTCCAACAATGCATTCCTCTAAAGCTTAATTACCAAGTCCTGGCTCTTTCCTTCCCCCTCAGGTACTAGAAGGCAGGCTGAGGAGAGTAACGTGACAGACTCAAGACTGCCAACTGATGCCATGATGAAAAAAACTCCATCTCAGCTTGAGAAGTGGCATCACACACCTGGGGGGGAAGAAAAACCCCCCCAGAGATCCCATGAAAAGTAGTAAAATCTCTGAAGATTGCACTGGAAATTATCATTCCACTTTTATTTCTCTTGTTTGGGAATGATGACAGAGGAATTTGTCTCACAGCACTCAGTGTCCATCTCCCTTCTGCCAGGAGATGGAGTCGAGTCTGATTTCAGCCTGCATTGGACAGGGCCTGGTCAAAGACATCTGCAAAGTAGTTGATTGCCTAGAGTTCCAACGACCAGCAGCCTTCCAAGAATTAAGTGAGGAAGCATTCAGGCTGGAATACATCCTGGCTGGGCAAAGAGTAAACGCCTCGCTTCTGTGTCCTGCACTACTGAGCTGCTTTTTTAAAGTCACTCAGTTTCCATAATCATAGAAAAATGGCTTCCAAAAAACATATGTGGACAAATGGGATGTTTTGCATGTAAAAAACGTGATCTTCACCCTACAAAACATACAGGAAGTTGTTTCACAACCTCTAAAACCAGAGTGCACTACCAAAATGAGCTTTACCTGAGCAGCTGGGGTTTCTAGCAGTGCTCCATCAGTAGCTCACTGAAAGGAACAGCACTCCCTTTGTCCTTTGGTGACATCCATCAAAACAAAATATGGCCTGTACCAAACAAGCCCAGGGACTTCTATACAGACATCAGTTTGTGTGTGAGGAATACACTGTGTACACCAGTGTTGAGGTTTTGCCTCTGAAATAAGTTCCGTAAACACTGGTCACACCTTGAAATCTGATTTCATGTGATTTACTGAGACCTCTAACTGAAATAGCTGCCTGTGCCAGTGTAGTTGCAAGCCAATTTTACCAGATGCAGAGGAGTTTATGTACATTGGCACCTGAATAACTGCATACACACTTAAGCTTTCTCCTTTCTGTCAGGAAACAACATGCTTGGAGCAGTGGAGAACCAAGTCACCTCTTATTAACCAGGGAGTAGTGACGCTGGCAAGCTCCAGCACCACTCACTGCTTGTGGCTGCATTCTTTTCTATACAATTTGTCCTTAAAACGATTCATCTGAAAGGAAAAGCTGATCTCTACAGATGGAGAGAAGTGATCTTTACACACACAGAAAACAAAGGAGATGAACCTGTTCTGCTACACAGTGGGTGGCTCCTAGTAAATTATTTGCCTTAAACATACTAAGCAGATCTTAAATCAGCTAGATACCATTAAAATGTTGAAAATAAAGCTAGCTGGAAGAGTAGGTAGTGACAGGAATAGTTCTTAAGCAACATCTCTCCCTTGTCTGTCCCTCACTGCCCCAATACCCAGGACAAAGACTTCTCTCCTATAGCTGGCACAACAGCACAAAAACTTGCACTGGGTTTTTTTTCAGTTACGTGACCAGCTCTTATCAACCTTGTACCAAACACTTCCACACCACCAGCTCACCCAGAGACAAACCACTTCTCCCTGTACCCTTCCCATGGGCACATTTTGGCTGCACATAGCCTTTATTTTTAACCAAGCCCAAGATGTGAAGACTGAGACCACGCAGTGACTTCCCCAGCACAATTACCCAACACCACAGATGTCAGGATATTTGCACTGGCGCTCCCTAAGTCCACAAAGCTGTTGGATTTTCTATCACCTCCTGGTATTTTACTGTTTTCTGTGTCACTTCCCTGTAGCTCTTTTGAGGAAGCAAATAGGAGAAATTAAATGGTTTCCACTGCTCCCTTGGATCTGAACTAACCAAACCATGCCAGTTTTCCAGCTCTTCTGACAACATATGGCTGTGCCATCTATTCAAAGCCATCTCCTGATGTGGTTGGTGTCACACAGGTGTCTTTACCATTATGTTAAACTCGACTACAAGCACAGAATTCCCTCAGGTAACACCTGGAAAGTGGGATCTTGGCTGGACTAACCTCCTGACCTGAGACTTAACCATGAAGAAATATAATGCTTGGAGGAAGACTGACTGAGGACTAAAATACTTTGAAAGGGAAGAAAAAGGAAGGCAAAGTCAGCAGTAAATAAGAAGCATGGTAGATGCAAACTGAGCATCTCTAGAGGAAGCCTGCAGCCATTGGAGAAGGAAAAGGAAAGAAAACTGACCACTACCACAACCCCAAAGCTGTGAGACCATCAACACTCCCATCAGGGCACAAGACAAATCTTGCAAAGGTAGTGAGCTTAACTTTTCTCTGGAGCTTTATATCTTACCTGAAATGCTTTTTTTCCAAGATAAAAGCCAAGTGTCAGTAGAAAGGCAGATGAGAGGACTCATTCCATTTCATTCAGTACAGTGATCCTTAAGTCATTTGCTTAAGGGGACAGCCCAGGGACAGGACAGTGGAGGAATGACGCAGCAAAGTGAAGTGCAAAGAGCTACACAGATTTTTACACAAAGAAAAAGAGGCAGCTGCAGAGGAGGGCTGGAAGGAGAGGGACACCTGAGATATACAATGAGGCAAGCAGGAGCAGCAATGCAGCACCTTAATTTGTGTCACAGCCTGGATGTGCTTTTTGGTGCATCCATAAATTATGACAGGAACGGCAGAGCGTGCAGTGTGCCACGCTGAGCTCCTACCAGTGGAGACACACTAAAGCCCCAAACCTCCACAAAGATCTCCAGGTATTTTGACCCAGTGCTTCCCAAAGCTCTTCCAAACCCACAGGAAACCAGGACGGGGTGAACCTTTTCCTTTTCTTGTATGGAAGCCACAAGGCTCAGCTGTCTGTTAACTCAGCTATCAATTCCATCCACATGGAATAGTTTGTACAGCAAGAAGCTTTGCACCATAGGCACAACAGCACATCCAAGTCATTTTCTAAACTCACAGGTGTCTGGGATTTAGCAAAATTTTGGAGCATTACTGGTTTCTATAAAGATGAGTTTAGGATTTATTCACATGGATAAATTCAGTATTAGCAGCATAATTTTACTAGTCACATAGTCTAGTTGTGAGCGCTCATGTTGCCTTTTTTTTTTTCTTTTTGTTTAAGTTAGATGTCCCTGCCATCAAAAAGTTTTAATTAGAACAAAGTACTTAATCAGAACAATTGTGTTTTCCCCACTGAAAACAAGGGGGTTGTTTTTTCCTTGGTTTTTCAGACTTCTTCACACTTTATTTTAAAAGTCAGCTGCCCAGAACGGAGCAGTAAGAGCACTACCTGATTTCAAATCACAGATAAGCCCTCTGGTCAGGCAGGCTCACAACGGGATTTGGTTGCCAAAACCAGCAGCAAGGTGGTGTTTATCTGAATATGTGCCAGTCACAACGGAGGAGATCCACAAGTTCCCTCCCCTCACACATCGATAGAGCAGGGCTCTCAGACGTTTCAAACACTAAGTAACTCATTATTATGAACTAAAGTTACTTTCTGTTCTGGGCCGCTAGGTACAGACCGTTTTTACCCGCCAAAAAGAACACCCAAGGTCACTGATCAACCTTCTAAATCACAGCGGCCACTGAACACAGGGCAGAGAAGGCTTGTGCCCATGGACACACGGAGCAGCAGCATGATCTATAACCCGCCTGTTTCAATCTCAGCTGACTCACAAACCCCCTAAGAGGGAGGTTCTGCTTTGACGAGAATGTCTGAGCGAGCATCTCTCCTTCCCTCCGGCACCCGAATTAGCCCAAAGGAATGGTACTGGAGCTCTGGGTGGCTGCGAAGGACCTTGCTTTCCCCTGCCACTACAGCTTACACTGCAAGCAGAACAGCTCCAGCTTTCCATTGCACTCACCTGGGCGTGCGATCCAAGGAGGTGTTTCACACACCTTTCCCTGAGCCCTGGCAGAGGCATGACAGCATGGCCCCGGCTGACAGCTTCCTCGGCTGCTCCATGGGAGCCGCGGGGCTGTCGGTTACTATTTTGCTTGAACTGGGAGTGCTGGAACCCCAGGACACTCCCCGCACCTCAGTGCATGTCGGGAATATTCACCTACACACTTTCCTTCCTCCAAGCGCTGACAGGAGCGCGCCCTTAGTCACGGTTACACCTCTAGGAAGCTCCGGTTAACACTTTAATCACTAACTTCACGAGGGAGAGGCAACCTGCTGACTCCCGGGAATCATCTGCTGGCAGGACACACTCTGAAACATCCAGTGCCCGAAGTGCTGTTATGCTTTAACCTCTTCTGTTTTCTAATCCATTGGATAAAGTAAGTTTTCCTTCAGATACATGCTCATCTACAGCATTTGATGGAATAACTGCTACAAACCATCAGATCATGCCTAAGTGTAGATACATGGATTT